GAGGGGCGGCGGATGCCCCGCCCCCAGGTGCCGGGGAGGGGGAGGGCCCCCCCCGCCTGCCGCTGCTGCTCCGAGTCGGTGAGACTCCATAGCGATCCCCGCCAGCAGCGGAGGTGGTACGTGGACGGATCTGGGAGGTCCGAAATCTCTGCCATCCATTATCCACGGAGGGGAAAGTTGTTAAAAGAAATCGTCCGTTCGGACAAGCCCCCTATATTCCTACAATCCCGGCTATAATGTCTTTAGTTTCTCCGGCGAGTCGGGCTCCTTCTCAGCCATCCTGCTGACCTACAAAATACAACAAGAAAAAAGCGCTTGGTTCATCGGCACAAGAGCAGACGGAGTTCAGTGTTGGTGGAACTGCTAGTTTCAGGATTTCTCTCTTTTTTTTCTTCCCAGCGAACAGGCGGCCCGAACGCGCAATGACGCAGTTTGGAAAAACCACTTCAAAAAACTAAACGATGAGTATTAGTTGGTCCTTATTGGTGCCACATGAGCTGCCGTTGGTGTTTAAAAACAGTATATCAGAAGGCATCTTTTACTAATATCCACATTATCACGGTGTAGGGCTCTCAGCGGCACTCCTCCTCCCGCTGCTCCCCAGCTCTGGAGCTTCGGTTCCGGGGAAGGAGAGGGAGAGGGAGAAGCAGCGCCGGCCGCGTTTGCAGCTCTCGTTCCGCAGCTAAAGCACCGGGCAGTGCCGTGAAATAACTCCCAATTCGACAAATGTTAACAAACCATTTCAACGTTGTTGTTTTTCCCGATTAGTCAGTCGTTTTTCTACAACATAACCCAGCAATCCATGGGGCCGAGTCTCCGTGTAAGCCAATACACCATAAATACTAGAGGCGCATCAAATATAAATTTCGAACGAGTTAAAAATAAATAAGGTTGCAAAAAACCTGCATCATTAATCAGCGAGGTTAGCGGTGTTTTGTTGCTCGCAGACGCAATTTTAGTCCGTGTTTACTTCGCAAATGGACATGGGTGCTGCCCAAGAGAAGGGAAAATCAAATCCGAACCCGTAAACACTTAAGTCCCATATTTAAACACAAAAATTCGCTTTATGCGCGGAACTATAGACTTCTTTTAAATCATTCGAGTCGGACTATTGGAAGATTAAACACATTTAACATAATCCATCGACGACAACTTGTTTTAATTGAATAAAGGTTACTTTAAAAGAGTGATTTTGATGTTTTTTTGTTTTTTTTTAAATACCAATGAAACAACTCTTTAAAAGAGTGATTTTGATGTATTTTATTTTTTTCTTTAAAAGAGTGATTTTGATGTATTTTGTTTAAAAAAAATACCAATGAAACAACGGTATTTGAACAGATTTTGGACGAGTCACTTTCGTACACGGTTAAATAAAAATAAAGTTAGTTTGAGGAAGATAACAACAGACTTTATCTGCAGGCAACATGGGCAGTTTCCCCGACCTCTTTAAAATGATAATTCGACCGGTTATGTAAATTAAACACACTATAAAAATATATATAAACATATAATAAGAGTATATAAAATAGACGACGATTGAAAAACTCTAGCGACTGGTGTATAACCACTCGTTATACTCGGGCGGGATGAGAAGGACTCGTTCAGATATCACAACATATGCCACGAATTTTCGGCTGTTTTTTTACAATCACACCGCAGATACAATCGGTCGGCTGTTACCGCTGTGAAGGACAAACTGAAGCCCAGCTCCAGCGTCCCCGTGTCGGCTGCGTTTGTCCATGCGGTTCGGCAGCACGACCGCCTTGCCTTTCAGCCACGTTTCAAACTTTTCACGCTTGCAATAACGACAAACGCACAACTTTAAGAGAGGAAACGAGTCGAGAGTGACTCTGTGCCCTGGTTTCAACAATCTAAGTGAAATTTAAACCCAGAATATGGCTTCTAAACCTCCGCGCCCTTTTCACATACATTTACAGCCTGGATAGTACTTTACAGTGCACTAGCTCTTTGCTACTTTCAGTCAAAACGGGTAAACAAGGCGGGTAAAACTTAGCCAGCGCTTACTTGAATTGGAAAAAAAACCAAACAAAAAAAAAGTAAAGACTTCAGAATGCGTCCGGGTTTCTGCTGGAAGTAGTGGAGTAGTCCATTACAAGCTGGTCCGAAGGTAAAGTGGGGGAGAAGTTGGGGAGAGACAGAAAAGCCCCCCAACCACAGCGTCCGTAAACTCTTCAGCAATGAAACCCAGCATTGTTGTGTAAGCCACGCCCCTCGCTCTCAATACCACCCAGTCATAGACCCGCCCATTAGCTAGGCTCTGATTGGCTGTAGGGAGTGTCAGTTAAAAGTCCCCTGTGGTTAAACAAAAAAAAACACTGGCTGTTCGCCAGAGCTATAAAACCAATTATGGAGCAAGGAGGTTGGGCCGTTTCAAGGTCCCCTCTTCCTTCAAGAAGGAGTGATCAAAACAAGAGGAGTTTTTTTCTTCTTTTTTTTTTCTTTGAGTGTGAATGATGCTGGTGATTATGAAGGCAACCCCCACCCTTCTTTTTCTCCATCATCTTAAATATTGTATGTTTATGACGTTTTAACCTAATAAATGTATAACTGCGTAGGTGATTATTATGTTACCTCTAGTTTGTGAATATGTCCTAACTTGTTCACCAGCTCACGCTTGAGACCAGAGATCAGTGACCTGGAAAAATTTGTCAAAAATGCAGAATAATGAATTTAACCTTGGGGTAATCTTAAACTAGATTTCAGCAATTACAGTTAATCCTGTTGTGTAATCTGGTTAGTTTATGGCCTATTTTTTCAGGTATATAATAATAGACCCATTATATTCCACTGTATACAATTAAACTAAATGTATAAAAAAAAAAAAAAACTTTCAACTCAAAGTTAAAGCTGTAGAATCTAAAGAGCTGGGTAGATAACAAAGGTTTAATCAAGTTTTGAATGAATAAAATAATTCTGGTTCACCAGACTATTGCAATTGCACTTTTTCCTCTTTTCGGTGCGTACACTGCTTGCTAAATTAGTCCTTGTGAGATGAAGAAAGTGTTTTGAATTGAAATGAATTAGTCTTCAAGAGTCTGTAGATAAAGAGACGGACTGTGGAGTGGTCCAAATTTAATACCACACATATTCTATCCAGCACAAACTGGCACCCTTGTTGTTGAAGTGCTCCTCAGTCTCTGGCCCCGACTCTTAAAGACTCTCCATAATGTTACGAAGAGACAGAGACTCGTCATAACAACTCAGTCAGTGACACATTTTTGAGGTAGGCACAGTTTCCCACAGAGGCATAATGTCAGTATGCAAATGTCAGAGAAAAGGACTGTATAAGTGAAGAGATTTGGTGTGGAGTTGCATAGTCTGGTGGGGAAAAACACAGATTTGCATTAGAAGAGCCCGAGTGCTCATTTAGTGCTATTATGCTCAACTCGGGGTAGTGGGAGGAAGCCGAGCGTGACCTTTTGTGTGAACTGAGACTTTCACTCTGTGACCTCTGTGTTTTTCCTTTCACAAGGTTGAGACTGACTTGTTTATTTTTTTTTAACATTATCACGGACAAGTTTCCACTGAGGTAATCCATCGCCTGTGACAAAAGTAAAGGGTTTGTCCACATCATTTTTTAAAAAAGTTTTAACTTCCCAAAATGCTCATATTAAAAAATAAATTATTAGCTGGGGGTTTTGTGGTTTGTTTGTTTTTCGTTTCACTTTTTTCTCTTCTCAAAATGAAACGTGGTATGTAATGACTTTTTTTTTTATAATTTTATAATTTAAACTGTCATTTGAAAAGTCACAAAACATCTTTTATCATTTTAATTACTGCCATCTAATGTAGTTATATTGCACTTGGGAAAAATACACACAAGCATTCCAACTGTTTACTAAAGAACTGAATAGCATTAAAATGAATTAGTAGAAAATAAGTACGTGTCCCTGAAAATGAGTAGAACCTGATAATATTAACGTTTATTGTTATTATTTTTTAAAATATTTTTTTATTACCTGCTCAATCTTTGCTATCAAAATAAGGACAAAAAGAAGAGCCGAAACTATAGTAGACATTCATCACGTGACCCTAATTCAGTCCCGTAGTTACATGGTTGCAAAAAATGTTGATAAAAAGCGAAGACGGTTTCAAGATACCCCTGTCACGCCACCCTCCCTTTCTCCTACTGAGGGCAGTTTCAAGGCGCCCCCCCTCCCGGTCGGGTTGGGGAAAGGCAGAGCAAGGATCTGGGGAAGGTGAGGAGAAAAGGAGCCGGGTCGAAGACGGAACCAGGGCCGATCAACAGGAGTAGGAAAGAGGAGACGAACCTGGGACACGCTGGTGAAAAGTAGCCGTTGATGTACAACCGGGTGGTGGAGGCAGCAGCAGCAGCGGCGGCAGCGGAGGCAAAGGAGCGGCGTCGCTGCTGCGCTTGATCCGGCGACATCACGCCACCCTCGGCTACAATACAACCACCGACCCGAGAAACAGGACAGCAGGGGCCGCTCAGCGTCAGCCGCTCGCCCCGCTGACCTCTCTGCTACAGGGGCGTCTGCTGTCACCTCTGACTGACTGACGGGACCCGGGAAGGGAATTACCAGCTGAAGATCACACGTTAGAGGCGTCCCGGGCCGAGCCGTGCAGTCCGGCCTTTGTTCTGCTAATCGCCCCACCTGGGAATTTAGACAATAGCTTCAGATTAAGGTGTTATTGTTATTGTTATTGTTGTTGGTGGGGGCGGGGCGGGGGGGCGTATTCTCCACTGTGAGGTGGGTGAACGTGGCCCGTCTTCACAGAGGAGTCTGTTTATGTCTCTGTTTATTTTAGAAATGGTTTATTAAAACGAATCTACTTTTAGAACCTGTTTTAATCTACTGTAGTAGAATCGAACGCGTGACAGCATCATTAGTGCACAGACGGGACCAACAAATTAGGTTTGGCAGCTGCAACAGAGGAGGTGGCAGAAACTGAAAGAAAATTCCAGAATAATGGAAAGCTGTAGCATGTAATGACATGACACACACACACACACGTGTTCAAAGATGAAGAGTTAACCAGATCAGATCTGGAATCAGAATGAGATAGAAGTGACCTAGGAACTACTACGAGTACTACTACTAATACTGCAGTTACGACCACTTCGACCCATCCATCCGACCATCTATTGATTTGGTTTAAAATGAAAGAATCAATTCCATTAAAGAATCAATTGTTCCATCCAAATATTTCAAAACATGTTGGATAAAGTCATTGTTTTGTTTTTTTAAATATATATATATATATACTGTATATAAACCCAACTGTCAACAACACCGTCTGTCGTCAGTCCACAGTAATAAAAGTATCTTCTCATCATTTCTACGAGCCCGTGTCTCTGAAGTTGTCGCAGCCTGACATGTTGCTAAAATTATTAACCCAGGTCACTCCTGTGTAACTGGATCCATCAGCTGCTCGGCCAAAAGAGCCCACCGGAGACCGCTCTGCCTCATTCCTCAACGCTCCGTCCACATATAGAGAGGAGAGCTGGGGCCGGGAGCCGTGTGTGGTTCATGTGCTGGTTCTCACCTCCGTGGGTGGACGGCGGCAGCAGATCCGACTACTATCTGTTTATTTCTAGGTTAGTGCTTCTCACCGTGGCACCAACTCCAGGAACAGATGGGACCGTTTGGCAGATTATGTTTTATTATAGCCTATACACCAACTGGGATCTTTGAGAAGGCTCCAACTCTTAAAGCTCCACAAAAAAAAAAAAAAAAAAAAAAAAAAACCTCCATGTGGAATTGTGGTGGAAAACTACTGAGAACTGTGATTTATTACACCAAAGGCCGCTGAGTCGGTACAACGTTTCCATGACTGATTTAATTTTACTCCAGCACAATGAGATCATTTGTTATTTCTGACTCACGTGCGTTTTTTTTTTTTAAAACATATTGTGTTTTTCTTTGGTTCTGGTTTCCTACGTGAGACCCTAACATGATATCTCACCTCAGCCCCCAGCCTCGCCTCCCGCCTAAATATCCTCACTCGGTTCTGGGTTCGTTCCGTCCTATCAGTTGAAGAAGGGCTTGAGGATCGGGTGAGTGATTTGATTTGGCAGCCAGACTATCTGATTTTCCCCGGGCTTGTGGCTGCATTAACCCACAGGGGACAGAGCTCAGGGAGAGGGCATTGATTAATTCAGGTGGGGGGTAGGAGGGGAGGGGGTTCACGCTCCTCTGGAAAAAGAAATACATAAATAAATAAACACAAGACGATGTGCCAGTGCATCAGCACCAGCCCTCAGAGTGATCTCAGCCCTGACTGCAGCGGAGGTAAATAAGGCCCGGATGAATGTGTTCCCAGTTACAACCATTTCCAACAATATTCCATAAATGAGGAATGAGACACTGCTATAAATAACAAGGGTTCCAGATATTTTATGAGCCCCCTCACACACACACACACACACACACACACACAGAGGACCTGCATGCCCACAGGGCTGTATCATTCATCATACCTTGTCTCATGCTCATGCTCCACATACACAGGCCCTGTATTGTTACTGCTACTGCTGCTGTTACTGCTGCTGCTGCTGTTATTGCTGCTGCTGCTGTTACTGCTGCTGCTGAAACACAGATCCACACCGTGATGATGGTGAAGAAAGCTAATTGTTGTGTCACCTTATATGTTGGAATGGAGCAAACGAGCACACACTTGCCAGGGTGGATGGATGAATGGATGGATGGATGGATGGAGGATGGATGGATGATGAATGGATGGATGGATGGATGGATGTGGGGTGGGGGGGGGAGGTGTGGGGGGGGGGGGGGAGGGGGGGATGGGGGGGGGGGGGGGGGGGGGGTTTGGAGCGTTCTGCCAGAGGACAAACAGTGGACCAGAGAGATGCAGCGCCCCCTGACAGTCGTACAGCTGGATGTGAGACGGTCAGGTGACAGAGAGACACAGAGGACATCACTGTTACTGCTGCTGCTGTTACTGCTGCTGTTAATGCTGCTGCTGTTAATGCTGCTGCTGCTGTTCATGCCGCTGTCACCGACCCCCCGGGGACCTCGACAGACTGAAAC